ACCCTTGTGCCAGCAGGACTGAAGACTGACAGGCTGCAGGTTTGAATCTGGGGACAGTGCGGGTGAGCTCCCTCTGCCAGATCTGGCTCCCCATGCAGGGACATGAGAGAAGCCTCCCACAAGGAGGGTAAAACATCAAAGCATCCAAGAGTCCCTTGTGCAACGTCCTTGCAGACGGCCAATTCTCTCATATCAGAAGTGACTTGCAATTTCTAAAGTTGCTCCTGACACAAATATATATATATATATATATACACACACACACACACACACACACACACACACACACACATACACACACACTAGCCATCCCCTGCCACGCGTTGCTGTGGCCCAGTCTGTGTATATGTGTTTTGTGCATGTATATATGTGTATATATGTGGTTATGTTCATGTATTGTAATGTATTTTTATTTTTTAGCTTTTTAAGTCTCTTCTACTGTGTTTTCCAGTGTTTTTATGAGTGATGGTCACTCATTGGCCTGATAAGTGTATTGTGTCCAAATTTGGTGTCAATTCATCCCATGGTTTTTGAGTTATGTTAATCCCACAAACGAATGTTACATTTTTATTTATATAGATTGTGTGTGTGTGTGTGTATGTATATATAGAGAGGGGGGGGACATATATAATCCAGTAGAAAGCAGATCATCTGCATCCCGAAACTGGATTATATGGTCAGTGCAGATGGGGTCTCAGGATACACTATAGAAAGAATGCAGTCTGCCATCACTTTAATGTTATGGAATAACGGGAGTTGTAGCTTCACAGGCTTCTTAGCCTTCTCTACCAAAGAGTGCTGCTGGTGCCTCACCAAGTGACAAAACCCAGGACTGCTTAGCATGGAGCCATGGCAGGTGAAGTGGGGGCCAATCTGCATGAACTCTACAGAGCCTAGGCTAGCTGCATCTTCAGGCGCCCCAACGCCGGGCCTTGGAGCTGGAGGCGCCCGGGAAGGGGCTGCTCTGCCCCGCGTGCGGCCCTTGGCCTGGGCCACGGCCCCTCCGCGTGTCACCGAGCGGGTCCCGGCCCAAGAGGCGAAGGAGGGAGACCCCGCTTGGCTCACCTGGTCGATATACTGCCGCACCCGCTTCCTGAGGCGCTCCAAATTCATGCCTTCGGCTCCCTCGCCCTCGAGGCTCCCTCAGCTCCTCTCGCTCTGGAGCCACAGAACCCGAGAGGTCCGTCGCCGATTCCACTCCTTCCCCCGCAACATCGCTCTGCTTGGTGCAACGCGCTCTCCCCTCCGCCGGAAACACGGGCCCTGCGCGCGGCGTCCCGAGAGGCAGCTCCCTGTTCTCAGCCTGAATGCATCTCCACATCGCTCAGTGCTGTGGAGTCGTGGGATAACGTTTGACTATAACGTTTGACTAGGGGCCCTTCCAGACAGCCCGATATCCCAGAATATCAAGGCAGAAAATCCCACATTATCTGCTTTCAACCCGGTTTTATTGTTTTAATGATTGTTTTATTGCTTGTGGATGTACTGTTTTTAACTTGATTTATGTCTAATTGTAGTGTATTATTGTAATTGTTTGTACTGGCATTGAATTTTGCCATTACTTATGTGTAAACCGCTTTGAGACCCCCTCGGGTTAGAAAAGCGGTATACAAATACTGTAAATAAATTATCTGAGTCCACACTCAGATAACGTGGGATTTTCTGCCTTGATAATCTGGGATATAGGGCTGTTTGGAAGGGCCCAGGCTCTTAATGTTTGTGTTATTTCTCCCAGGGCCCTTTCCACCAGCCATATAACCCAGAATATCAAGGCAGGATAAGCCACAATATCTGCTTTGAACTGGGTTATCTGAGTCCACACTGCCATATCCCGGTTCAAAGCAGAAAATGGGGGATTTTATTCAGCTGTGTGGAAGGGGCGCCAGTATGGCGTTCATGTAATAGGGTGTCAAATTTCAATGTAATTTAATTGGCTCTTCATAAAATAGTTTTTTAATTTTTTAAAAAATACTTTCTTTTTCAAAGCAACACGCACCAGAGCTAAACACTGCTTTGGAGTTCTCAGGCTGGATCTACACTTCACTATAAAATCCATATTACCTGCTTTGAACTGGATTATATGGTGGTGAAGACTCATATAATCCAGTTCAAAGCAGATAATGTGGATTATCAGATTTGATAATCTGGATTATGGGGCTGGATTGACACTGCCCTATAATCCAGTTTCTGAATTCAGATTATCTGCTTTGAACTGGATTATAAGAGTCTACACTGCCATATAATGCAGTTTAAAGTAGAAAATTCTGGATTCAGAAACTGGATTATAGGACAGTGTAGATGGGGCCTTAGATCCACCTACTAGAGGGACTCTGTGGTTCAAACCAGTTTACCAGCTATGGCCTTTTCCGAGCTAAGGTGCATCTACACCAGTGGTTCACAGCCTTTTTTTTTTACCAGGGACCACTTTGACCAGGGACCACTCTCCAACATTAGTAACAAAAGGGTTATGATTCAGTTTTTGCTCAACTTTAGATTCTGTTTAGTTATTTGGGTTGTTGATTCAGAAAATAGCATTAGGTAGACCACATCAGCTCTAGTTTCTGCTACAGAACTTATGACATCCAGTAGTCACCATCTGTTTGTCCACAGAAAACCATATTTAATAAGCCTTGGCACTATAAGAGGGTTTTGCGAGACCAGTCACTCTCACTGCAACGGTATAGTAATGGTGAGTCCACGGACCACAGGTTGGGAACTACTTGTCTACATTGTGGAATTAACACAGGTTGATACCACTTTAAAGGTAATGCTGATACTATGGAATTATGGGAGCTGTAGTTTGGAGAGGCACAGAAAACTAAAGACCTTGTAAAACTGCGGCCAGAAAATTACTGTTGGAATGTAATTGAAAACTTATTGATGTTTTAAGAATACTTAAAATGATAATTGTAAATAGTGGGCCCATGAAGAACCAACCCACTTCAATAACGGTAACCAATAAATGTTGCAGTCTATCTTTTCCAACCTTATAATTCAGCGCAATGATTCTTGTCCCGGAGCAAGGTTTTGCATGGAATTGATTTTATTGTGTGATTAGTCTGGAATGAAAGAAACAGTTACAACGAATACTTGAGCAAATCAAAATTCAGAACCACAGGAAAAGAAATAGGAAGAAAAATCAACAATTTTTGCATCCTGTGATGTCTCGGCCTAGTATTATTTCTTTGTTGCCTGTTGGACTGTTCCATTTTGCCAAGTTTAGAGTAGGAGTTTAGGATTCCCCTAGAGGCCGAGCTCAGTTGGTTCAGCCCATTCTGGCTCAGAGCTTGGCAGAAAGACTTTTTATTCCATTCCTTTTGGTCATAGTTTATAGATAGTTGCGAGAAAGTGTCTGGTCTGGCCTAGCAATTTGAACAGGCCATCCTTATCACATATTTGCCTTATAGATAGATAGTTCATAGATAATACATATTTGCCTCATAGAATAGTTATAGCCATATACTTGCCCTATAGATTTTAGATTAGAATATATTTACCCCAGAGTTTATAGTTTGTTACCTCAGAGTTTATATTTCATTGTTCTTACACCATCATAATCAAACTGTACTTTTATACCTTGATTATTTAGTAAACAATTGTTGAATTTAGTCTTGTCTCTAGTGTTATATTTTGAGGTATTAAAGTAATTTAGGGCATACCGATGGTCACTGGGAAAATAGCCAGACACATTTAGTTTCTCATTAGATCTTCCTGGTGTGCCATCATACATCCAGTTCATTGACATCATAAAGCCTAGCTATGGAACCCTGGAGATTTCTTGGCTCTTAAGCATAAGAAACCCTGCACTAGAGGCTGACCCCGGATGTACCAGTATCTGAACCCTAAATATTGTCAAGTCTAGATTTAATGCTATGTCCAGGCAATGCTTTTTAAAAGAATATTCTCAGTAGTTATTTGAAAGTAAGTAATTTAACACAGTGGAACATCTGTCCATAAGAGTGTACTGCCAGAGGAACTGATGAATGCCTAATTCTTGGATCCTGAAGCTGATTAAACCACTGGGAAGATACTGACTATGGCCCTATAAAGGCTCGTATATGGCACCAACAATATATCTTGACAGGGGGCAAACAAATCCCACCAACTGTCCCTCTAAAAATAAAGAATTCACTGGCACCAATATAACGTTATGAGGGGATGATTCTCTAATTAACTTTCGCTGCCACCATAAACTGCAATGCACAGGAACACCCTAGCTGCTTAAAATATTAAAAATGCGTTTTAAGACCACCAAGCACTGTGTCTTCTTATTTACTTCTTTAAAGGAAAACAATTGAGATTTTTTGAAAAGGAACTATATCCACGAATGGCACACTTGACCCAGGCTTTTTGAGTTTTAAAATATCAAGGAAAGTTTATTGATAACATATAAGAGAAAGTAAGTGCTGTTAAGAATCTTGCTGTTACAGAGAAATGTTAGTTCTTGTCTTTAAAGCGTAATGGTTACATGTAAATGGCTCTTTCTTTGTTACAAAAAACAGAGATTTTCTTCTCTTTAAAACCAAGCACACTTGACAGGAACTGAATCTCTGTCGAGATACAACTGTAGCTTAGCTACCCTGAACTGTGGCCTAGCTAACTACCAAACCAGCTATCATCTTTTCCTGATAGCTGTCCCAGTTTGCTACAGCTTCTTTTGCTGGCAAACCTAAGGCAAACTGCCTTCTCCTAACTAATCTTAAACACAAACTCCTAAACTACCTTCCTGCTCTAATCTCTAACAACAACAGACTGACTGAAAAAGCCCTCTTCTTTCCCTCCAAACCTTGCTAAACTCGGCCCCCATTTCTGAACCAATCCTGGCTGTTCTAATGCTAACTCAGGCCTTAGGACACTCCCCCTCTCTAAAATGGTGTTTGCCCTGAACTAAAATGGCTCCTGCTGCTTTCTGCCAGGCCCACTAAAGCTGCAACTAACTGGCCTGATTCTCCTAGGCCCTGCCATCCAGGCTGGCAAGGTAAGGGATCTTTACAGGCCCCATCTACACTGCCATACAATCCAGTTTCTGAATCCAGATTTTCTGCTTTGGATTATTTCGCAGTGTAGACTCATATAATCCAGTTCAAAGCAGATAATCCGGATTCAGAAACTGGATTATATGGCAGTGTAGATACAGCCTATATACAGATCAATCTGTGTGGATAACCAAAACTATATATCATTGGAGCATGGAAACCATGAAGTTGACCTGTTTTATGAAATAAAGACATTCTGGTCATACTGAATGTGGTTAATACCAAAAGATTTTTTTAATGGATGTTTTAAAAATCAAAGTTCAAAGCAGAAAATCAATTTATAAGCTTTCAGTGTCTTTTTCCTTGCAACTTTATGTTTAACTAGCCATCCCCTGCCACGCGTTGCTGTGGCCCAGTCTGTGTGGGTATATATGTGGTTTTGTGCATGCATTGTAATGTATTTTTTATTTTATTTTTTTGGTTTTTAAGTCTCTTCCACTGTGTTTTTCAGTGTTTTAATGACTGATGGTCACTCATTGGCCTGATAGGTGTATTGTGTCCAAATTTGGTGTCAATTCGCCCAGTGGCTTTTGAGTTATGTTAATCCCACAAACAAACATTACATTTTTATTTATATAGATACTGTGATTTTTGTTACTGCTGAACCACTTAACCTCTGATAATCTTCATATAAACACTTAACCTGTTTTCTTCCAAGCATTCTTCAACAATTTCAATTGAATTTATTTTTCAATTATTCTGATGATTGTGGCTTTGTTTTTTATGTGTCATATCTAGTAACTAGAATGAACAGTTTTTTTTAAAAAAAGCCATGTGTTTAGTTTATACTCTTGGCCTAATATTTGTTATCTGCTGTCAGTTGTGCCTCTATAAGGATTGAAACTACAGCTTTTATATTGAATTTGCTCTGTGATGATCCTTGCTTGACTCGATGTTGTGTTCAATTAGTTCTTTTTTTTCTGGTTTGTCTTTCAAACATTCATTTTTCAGATGCTTCTCTTTCTGCCTCTTTTTTTCTATCTTGTTGCGTTTTTGTTCCTGTGCAGGGATACATAAATTCATGTGCTCATAAATATATGTATTCTTAAAATTAAACATTTTTATCATTGCAAAAAAGTTTTTAAAAGCAATTTAGCTAATACAGTGATGCCTTAAGAGTTTAATTCGTTTCATGAATGAGCTCTTAACTCAAATTGCTCTTATCTCAAAGTGAATTTTCCCATTGAAATGCTATGTCCATTCTGCCCCCCCAACCTCCCTCCAATTTTTGTTATGTTTTTTTTAAATAAGAAAATGTACTTTATAAATAACAAATAATTTGTAAGTGCACATTGATATGGAAAAATAAAAAAGAAAGATCAACTTTAAAATGGTAGAAGCACAAAGTTGTGGCAAGGAATCACAAAGCACAAACTGAAGAGGCAGAAGCATCACTTTCTTCATACTGTACTCATTCCAACCTCTCTTCCTCTCTTGCTCTCTCCCCCTCTCTCTATTCTTGAAGCTAAACATACCAGGAATAAAAACCACACAAAATCAACTAACCCTGAGTTTCTTAAAGTGGAGAAGAGCAAAGCAGACAAGAGCACAAGGTACAGAGGTTGCTCCCTTGAAATCCTAAAACCCTGTAATCTTGTGCTAGCGCTCCCTCTGACTCTAGCTCTTAACTCAAAATGCTGCTCTTACGTTAAAGTAAAACTTGGGCTGAGCAACAGCTGTTAACTCAAAAAGCTCTTAAGTAGAGGTTCCACTGTAGTTCTTTTAAACTCTTAGGGCTCGATAACTTGTGATTTATTTATATTTTAAAGTTGTAAATAATACGTTTATATTCTTAGAACTAAATTCAGTGTTAGTCTTACCAAGTAATGACACAGAGAAATTAATGGGAGTTTAGTTGTGGTAGTCCTATTTATTTTAGTGGGATTACTCTAGCAAGAACATTTAATTAAGCCATATCTATACATAAACTTAAACATCATTATTCACAATTCTAATAATAACAATAAATCCCAAGATATTAAAATAACCAGTATAATTTGTTTTCTTCTTCTTTGCCTGATCTTTCAAGCAACCCAGGACTTGAAAAGATTTGTTGAGAACATAAAAACTGACCTTAAAGGAGTGAGAGAGGTAATGTGAGAGGATTCTTGCAAAGAAGGACTGATTAAGGGCTAATTTGCACACCTTGTGATAATACATGCAAACATTTTAATGACCTTCATATTCACAAATGCAAATTTCTTCTTGTCCAGGGCACATGCACAGAACTTTTAGAAGGACAGAACTGATCCTTGGGCTTCCAAAAAAAACTTGCAGAAGTTGTCTGATCTTTTTTGTGCAGTTTTCATCACACAAAATCTATGACCATGATGTCAGATTGCTTGGAATTTTTCTTAATTTGGTACACATAAAGTATAGCTGGTGATCCTGAGAGTATCTCTCTAAAACACAGATGGATTATCTGTGGCAAAATGTAAAATTAAGGACAAGGAATTATTTTTGTCATATCGTACTCCATAAGACATTTTAGGCTCCAGAGAGACCTTTAAAAAAGAAGTGAGCAGGAAGTGACTTCTCAATTGCTATTGTTAAAAAAAAGATCTGTCTTGGAACTAAAATTTCCGATAGGGCCTAAAAGCACAACACAAATGCTTGCAGTGAGGTCATGTGCAATCTTCCAAGACCTTCTAGTGCAGACCCCCATTCTTCGACTGTTACCCACACCTGCTCTAAAATTATGTGGATCATATTCCACTAACTTAAATACATCTTTTTAACCTTTTAAAATTAGATACAAATATTTTAATAAGATTCTTTAATGTTTAAGTAGTACTCCTGTTGAAGTACTTTGGCCACATCATGAGGAGACAGGAAAGCCTAGAGAAGACAATTATGCTGGGGAAAGTGGAAGGCAAAAGGAAGAGGGGCCGACCAAGGGCAAGATGGATGGATGGCATCCTTGAAGTGACTGGACTGACCTTGAGGGAGCTGGGGGTGGTAACGGCCGACAGGGAGCTCTGGCGTGGGCTGGTCCATGAGGTCACGAAGAGTCGGAGACGACTGAACGAATGAACAACAACAGTACTCCTGTAGAGCCAAATGATGTGGTGGTTTGCGCACTGGATTAAGATTCTGGAAACTTATCCCTCAATTCTCTGCTTAGCTGTGAAAACTCACTGGATGACCTTGGACAAGTTACAGCCTCAAAGGAAGGTAAAGGCAAGAAAACCCCATGATAGGCTTGCCTTAGACTCTCCGTAAATCAGAAACAACTTGAAGGCACATAACAACATAACAAACAAGAGGGAAAATGTTGGCTCTCCAGATGTTAAACTTGGAGTCCCATCAGCCCTAGAGCGCATTTTCCTCTTGTATAGTGTTTCAAAAGAGTTCAAATCAGATTTAGTTTCCGTGGGTTCAAGTCTGCCAACCCTGGCTTGTGCATTCCTTTTGTCAGTGTTGTTCCCTCTGAAAACTGAAAAGGTAGGACTTGCATTTGTGTAAAAAAAAAAAAAGTAACTTTGCCACATTGTGCTTCCATTTGTCTTAGGCTGAATCTGTACTGCCCTATATCCCAGGATCTGATCCCAGATTATCTGCTTTGAACTTGATTATATCAAGACCCTTTAACACTGCCAGATAATCCAGATTATCAATGTAGATAAACCACATGATCTGGTTTGAACCGGATTATATGAGTCTATACTGCCATATAATCCAGTTCAAAGCAGATAATCTGAATTTTATATGGCAGTGTAAAAGGGGCCTTAGTCTACACTGCCAGTTAATCTTGGATAAACAGATAATCCAAGATCAGATCCTGGGATATAGAGAAGTGTAAATCCAACCTTAACCTTCCCCATCATCTAATCCACTGCTTTGCAGGTTTCCTTCCTCTCCTCTCTGCTTTTTTCCTTTTCTGTGAAGTTTATTTCTTGCCTGGAGCTGTTTACATTTTACAATGCTCTGGTGGATTAAAACTCAAGCATTAAATGACCTTTCCGAGAATGAGATACAGTGGCAAAATAGGAAGGACAGGAGAGCATAATTGCTAGATCCCTGAATCTGCTGTTCAGAGGGACCTTCTCCACAGACCCAAGACCTGCAACCCATCACAGGTTAACCTGGAGCGTCAAGAATCCAAACAGATTTAATCCTTAGATAGATGTGGGTTAGGACCATAAAGCATGGATTCTGTTGGCTTTATTCTTTGTAAGCCTTAAAAACCATTTCACTGGTGTATCAAGATCTGGCACTTGTACGTTGAGACAACAGTAACATAGATAAAAGCAAGAGAAACATATTATTTAAAATAATGTTTAGTTTTATCCTTAACAGCTGTCTATCACCTATATTCTCTCAATAGGATAGTATGTATGCCTTAGCTGATAAATGTATCATGCACAGATTGGCCAGTTATTTACCAGTTGCATTCTACTTCTTGAAATTAGGCTGCACAGAACCTGCTTATTTTACCCCAGTTGTTAAAGCTAGCGAATATAAATTATGATAAATCAAATTCAAAGAGATTTGCTCTGTCAAGCTTTTAAGACACCTTATCTTTACTGAAGCTTTTTGGAGCACCTCTAAAATTTTCCATAAAGACATCTCTTACACTTACCAAAAAAGGTGGTTTTCACTAAACTGTAGGACTAAATATTTTTAGAAAAACAAAAAATAATTTTAAACAACCAAGGATACCTTTTGATCTGGCAACATGGGCACTCCATGAGGGTATCTTGTGATATTGTTCGTGTAGTATTCAGTCTTTTGCCAGTCTTCATTCCACTTCTGGACCTTGTATTGAGGCTGACACTTTGTAATCCTTTCCAGAATGACACGATTCTCTCGGGTTATTCTTAGTAATTCTTGCTCTCGTATTTTTCGGTTTAAGCTAAAGTACAGGATATATATATATATACACACACACACACACACACACACACACACACACACACACACATACACACACACACATACATATACATATACATATACATATACATATACATATACATATATATAAAAATGAAAGAAAACGTTTGAATTCCTATCTCTAGTTAGCTTAGCTAACATTCTCTCCTATGGTGTTTCTTCTATTTAGACAGGTATTTGTTTTATCTAATTGACATATTTTGCAGTACATTACTGTATCATCTTCTTCATCTGACATTTTGGTACTTTTTCCCTTTTCAAAAGTTACTGTATTTCAACTGGGTGAAAATGTGACTTTGGGGTCAAGCCTTTGACAAATAACACAATGCAATAGATTGACTTGGATTTATGTTTAATCATTACTGGAATGGTCTGACTATGATTGCGGATAATGTGGTTTTATAGTTGTAATTGCAATGTTTTATATGTTTTAATGCTCTTAATCTTATTTAAAATTTTAATTGAAATGTATATTTAATTGTATATTGGATGTATATTGCTTTTGAGGTATTGAATTATTGCTTATGCTGCAAGCTGCCTTAAGTCCCCCTTGGGGTCGAGAAAGGTGGGATATAAATATAGTAAATAAATAAATACTGTTTTTAATTTTCTTTCTGTGGCTTTGAATTGTGCATAAACCTCACAAAAGTAGGAGCTGTATAAATTGTCCAGTCATTAACAGGAAAGGGTGGATGCAAATAAGTGAAAGGACAGTGATGACTATTATTAATTATTATTTTCTTTATTTTTATCCAGCCTTTTCCATTTTTGTGTGCTAGACACAAGGAACATTAGAAATGGAAAACAGACAGATTTGCTTGTAAATTATGGAAGCACTAGATTACCAATCATACCTTTGACTTTGGCTAGCAAATATTTCCAGTTTGCTTTCTTTTGCAGAAGTGATTAAGCTAAATTCCAATTACGTTATAATAATCCACAATCATTTTTTTGGGTTCTTGTCCAGAAAGGAAATTGTGTCAGAAAAATAAATCTCAGTTATGCAACAGGGAAAGATCTGCCACACTTAAGTCTTTGTACACTTGCTTGGCATAAATCAAATAAATTCAGGAGGCATATCTTTTGAACAAAGCTTCATAGGATCAGTAAATTGGTTTTTGAAACAATATTTATATGGAAAACTCTTATATATTTATTGGTAGGAAATTCTTCTTGCTGCTCTGTGCTGGGCATTATCTGCACTGTTGTGTTGACTCATATAATCCAGTTCAAAGCAGATAGTTTGTAATAACCACATTGATAATCTGTATTACATAACAGTATAGATCCATCCTATGAATTATGTTAATCTCAAACTACTGGCCTCACACTGTAATTCAGCCTAAATGCTACTGCTTGTATTTTAGACATTTACATGAACCTGCCAGTCAGTTGTCCCAAACATGTATTGATTACTTATAACGTGTCTAGTCACAGTTGATTCTTCCCATGACTCATAGATATTCAGATATATCAAAAGCACGGCTTGGAAAATGTTGAGGGGGTAGCTTTATTACTCTGTTACAGAAAAAAACAAAAACAAAGAGACTTGTGGAACCTAAAATATCTGACATGAATGAACTATAGACTGTGAGTTATCGATATAACGTATACTGGTATATACATTCCTATACATTACTTTCCCCAATGTGACCTTTTCTAGTTGTATAGGATTACGGTTCCCATCACCATCAAAGCAGCACCCTCTGACTGGGAATGTGGTAGTTATAAATAAATACATCAGGAGAGTGTAAAGTTGTGGAAAAATCCTTAATTACTTCACAAGTCTAGTAAGGTAAGGGTTTCCCCCAGAGGCGGTCCTAGGTAATTTTCAATGGTAAGCAAACAGTATTTTGGTGCCCCCCCTCCCCAACCAATCACTGATATGATAGATAGATAGATAGATAGATAGATAGATAGATATAGATATATATTGGCATAGACAAATTTTGGCCCTCCAGGTATTTTGGACTTCCTACTGGTTGTTTGGAATTGTGGGAGTTGAAGTCCAAAACACATGGAGGGCCGAAGTTGGTCCATGCCATATATATATATATATATATATATATATATATATATATATACCGTATATTCCGGCATATAAGACTGGGCGTATAAGACGACCTTCAACTTTTCCAGTTAAAATACAGAGTTAAGACAACTCCCATGCATAAGACTACACCCACGTATAAGACGACCCCTGACTTTTGAGAAGATTTTCTTGGGTTAAAAAGTAGTCTTATACGCCAGAATATACTGTATATATGCTAGCCATCCCCTGCCACGCGTTGCTATGATCCAGTCTGGTCATCTTGAAAAGAAAGTAATGAGAAAGTTGGTTTCTTATGTAATTTCTTGATGTTTGTGGGTAAACAGTATTTCTTGTTGTTTCTTTGTCAGTGTTAATGTAGTGATTGTCTGGTTTGCCTACTCTGGAACATAAAACATATCATTCTCCTTCTTTAGGGATCCCTTTCACATCTATGATATTATATCTTCCGTGTGTGTATGTGTGTGTTTGAATCCTATAGATCTATCTATATCTATGGCAGGATGGCTCTTTGTCAGGAGGGCTTTGATTGTTTTCTTGCTCTGGTGAAGGGAGTTGGTCTGGTTGGCTATAAGGAAGCATTTCTCAACCTGGGGGTTGAGACCTCTGGGGGGATCATGAGGAGGTGTCAGAAGGGTCGCCAAAGACCACTGGAAAACAGTGTTTTCTGTTGGTCATGGGGGATTCAGTGTGGGAAGTTTGGCCCAATTGTATCGTTAGTGGGGTTCAGAATGTACTTTGATTGTAACTGAACTATAAATCCCAGTAACTACAACTCTCAAATGTCAAGATCTATTTCCCCCCAAACTTCACAGGTGTTCACATTTGGGCACATGTAGTATTTGTGCCAAGTTTGATCTAAATCCTTCATTGTTTGAGTCCACAGTGCTCTCTGGGTGTAGGTGAACTACAACTCCAAAACTCAAGGTCAATGCCCACCAAACCCTTTCAATATTTTCTGTTGGCCATGGGAGTCCTGTGTGCCAAATTTGATTCAATTCCATCATTGGTGGAGTTCAGAATGCTTTTTGATCTTAGTTAACTATAATCCCAGCAACTACAATTCCCAAATGACCCTGGAAGGAGGGCCGAAATTGGCCCAGGCCTGTGTATGTATATGTATGTGTGCGTGTGTACACACACACACACACACATCTGTATATATATATGTATACATATATATCTATGCAAGGAGGAGGCCGCTGCCAAAGAGGGCATTGGTGGCGGCGGCTTCCCCCTTGACCCTCCGTGCTCCTTCCTCCCCAGGCTTGGGACCCTTTTAGCCACAGAGCAGCAGAGGGGCGGGGAGGAGGCTGCTGGCAAAGAAGGCCTCAGCGGCGGCAGCTTCCCCCTCGCCCTTTGCTCCTCCGTCCTCCCCAAGCTGGGCGCCAGGCTTGGGAGCCCAGCCTGGGGAGGAAGGGAACTTTTAGCCACGGAGCAGCAGAAGGCGAGGGGGAAGCTGCCGGCACTGAGGCCCTCTTCGCCAGTAGCCTCCTCCTCGCCCTTCTCCTGCTCCATGGCTAAAAATTCCCTTCCTCGCCAGGCTGGGCTCCCAAGCCTGGCGCCCAGCTGGGGAAGAAGGAGCACGGAGCAGCAAAGGGGCGAGGGGGAAGCTGCTGCCGCTGAGGGCGAGGAGGAGGCTACTGGCGAAGGGGGCCTCAGCGGCGGCAGCTTCCCCCTCGCCCCTTTGCTGCTCCGTGCTCCTTCTTCCCCAAGCTGGGCGCCAGGCTTGGGAGCCCAGCCCGGGAAGGAAGGGAACTTTTAGCCACGGAGCAGCAGAGGGGCGAGGAGGAGGCTCCTGCCGAAGAGGGCCTCAGCGGCAGCCGCTTCCCCCTCGCACCTCTGTTGCTACATCCTCCTTCCTCCTCAGGCTGGGCGCCAGGCTTGGGAGCCTAGCCTGGCGAGGAAGGGACCTTTTAGCCACGGAGCAGCAGAAGAGCGAGGAGGAGGCTCCTGCCGAAGAGGGCCTCAGCGGCGGCAGCTTCCCCCTCGCACCTTTGCTGCTCCGTGCTCCTTCCTCCCCAGGCTGGGCACCAGGCTTGGAAGCCCAGCCTGGCGAGGAAGGAACCCTTTTAGCCACGGAGCAGCAGAGGGGTGAGGAGGAGGCGCCCCTGGCTGAAATGAAGTGTTCCGCAACGGCTTACTTTGCGTAACGGTTGAGCCGGCCCTGAGTCTAATCATGTCTGATTCTGGGGGATGGAGCTCATCTCCATTTCTAAATCGAAGAATCGGCATTGTCCATAGACACCACCAAGGTCATGTGGCCAGCATGACTGCATGGAGCGCCATTGCCTTCCCACAGAAGCGGTACCTATTGATCTGACATTTGCATGTTTTCGAACTGCTAGTTTGACAGAAGCTGGGCCTAATAGCAGGAGCTTACCCTGTTCCCTGGATTCAATCCGCTAACCTTTTGGTCAGCAAGCTCAGCAGCTCAGCGGTTTAACCCACTGCACCACCAAGGGGGGCTGTTGTCTAACACAAATCTTACTTCAGCTGTTTACAACTTCCTACAATTTCCGTTTTCTGTTGTTATCCTGCATTGTCATGAGATTTTGTACATTTGAGAAACATGTAACTGGGAAACTTTCTTTCATTCTGATTGCAAACCTTACCTTTTGGCCTCATATTCATTTTTGTTATCAATTCTTCCCGTAGTTCTCATAATATGAGATATCTTCCTGAGTAGCAGATGGTTGTCTCTCTCAATGATTGACAAACGTTCCTTTTCCAGCTTAAAATATTTTAAAAGACAGAAGAATTATTTTGCAAACAATTTATTCCTTACATCCCTTTCTCCAGTTGCAAATGACCATCATGAATGCCCGATTTGCTTTGCGACATGAGTGAAAGACAGGGACAGGTAATATGTGACTCTCCAATCAAATTGCATTTCCAATCGCCCATCACCATTGGTTTTGCTGGATATGGCAGAAGGGAATTGCAGTCCAGCAATATCTGGAAGCCCCATGTTCCACATCCTTATTTTAGGCACGTTTCTTTCAGAATGAAATTCACAATAAGCATTTTAAAAGAGTAGGAGACTTCGGCATCATTTAGCACTTAGTTAAATTGCATTTTAAGATATGCAAAATATTCCTAATCATTCAAGTTAATGAGAAACAGGAGACTCTTGCAACATCATACCAGAGGTCTGAATAAAATTCCTACTTGGACCAGTGAGAATGCAGTTTTTATAGGGAAATTGATAATGTCAACTTTATACTTATTTCTCACAATTAAGTGAACGATTCACATTAAGAGCATTACAAAAGAGACTACATCAAAATCACAGAGTTCTGGTCTATGGTATGTTTGTGCTGACACTTGAACTTGGTACTCTCTTTTGTTTCTCTTTAAACAGGATATGGCTTTACTCCATGGTTTTCATCTCTGCTATTTTATAAAGAAAACAAGCCATAGCACTGGCTGCTGCCAGTTCATGTTACAGTAAATCAATGGACCATATTGGTCAATATTTCACAGATGAAAACTGGGACAAGTGTGACCAAGCAGCATTAGACTGTAATCCAGATAGGAAAAGTTATCAATGAGGAGGAACAGACAAGCTGCAGCAATTTGCATTTGCATATGCAATCCTCTTTCCTTTGCTGAGTTAATTTAGGCCCCTTCCACACAGCTGAATAAAATCCCACATTACCTGCTTTGAACTGGAATATATGGCAGTGTGGACTCAGATATCCCAATTCAAAGCAGATACTGTGTGATTTTTGCCTTGATATTCTGGGTTATACGGTTTTGTGGAAGGCCCTCAGTCCAAACTATTTTGCACTCTGAACCCATCAGTTTGTAGCCACTGAAGTAATCTGAGGATAAAGAAGGAGAATGAGAGGAGGAGAGAAAAATTGCACCATTTTAAAAGCAGATAGAGAGGGCATTAATTGGGACTATCTCTACCAAAGGACGACCGTTGTTGGGTATTATCATTGCATTTATGCATGACTGGGGATGCTGCCTGCCCTCAGTAAGCCATATGTCCCATGGTTTCCTGGTTTGTACGTGACCATTGTAACTTGTCTACCTAAAAGTTCAGACCTGTACTAACCAAAAGAGTTCCATGCAACTCAATGACATTTTCTGTATAGAGAGATCTAGGACAGAGATGGGCAGCTGCGGTTAGTGGGCCTCATGACCCCATGAGACTGCAGGGCTTCCTCATCTTCAGTTTGTATGGCTGGGTGTTTTTAAATCAAAATGCTTCATGTCCTGTCTAGGGAGATAATTTTTCCTCCACCGCCTCCTTCCATTACAGTGCTTGAGGGATATCTTCCCCCTCAAACTGGAAAAGACTTCAATCAACACCTAGGTTAGGAGAAAGGCCTGATAAGTCTCATATTATTACAAAATTGTCCTCTTGCATCCTAAACTGGATCTACACTGCCCTGTATCTCAGGATCTGATCCCAGATTATCTGTTTATCCCAGATTATCTGTCAATATAGACTCATATAATCCAATTGAAAGCAGATCAGATCCTGGAATATAGGGCAGTGTCGATCAAGCTCTAGAGAATATGCGGTGGCTCTTTATCAATAAACCAAACATTTTTAAACCATCAATTTATAAGCATCAATGTACCTTGAGTTTTCTTAATTTCAAATGAAGATGCCCATAAGTTGGAGGAGGAGAGGTATCTACCACAGGTTTGGCTCTCTGGATCTAGAGCAGAAAAAAACCCCACCTATTTTTGGAGATACTTATATTTTCCATTAGGATAAAAGCAAATGTCTGTATTATTATATTTTGAACACTTCCAGCAGCACATATATTCTACATACAGTATATCAATATAAGTTCAGAGGCACTCTCCTAGGTAAGACTCAAAAGCTCAGTAGTAAGAGAGAATGTCACTACAGAGAGAGCAAAAGAGGGCATTGCCCCTGAAAGTTTCCTTCAGTCTCCAGATTTATAACATTTATAGTCCTTTATCCTTAGATGCTTAAATAAGAAGTATAGTTTGCAAGATCTTCCTACTGCCAATAATAATAGGATGGATCCTTATTCATAGGGTTACCATGTATTTGGTACAACTTGATATCAATTAACAATTAATAACATACTTAAAATGAATACCATTGTAGTGACAAGAAGTAGAATTATGTTGTCATGCAGAAGGAACTTTTTTCCCTTCTGCATGACAACATCATTCTACTTCTTGTCGCTATAATGGTAGTACGTCAATACCTTAAATCAAGAAATAGCTTCCTAAGATTTACAGAGACACTTGCTGGAACACCTCAGCAAGTGAGAGTCCAAAAGTGGCAGGCCAAAACCCAGAACCTTAATCAATAGCTGATACCAAATGAGAAACTCCCTCCTGGGCACACAGAGGACCGGGCGATTTGGAAGGCGCTGAACAGACTGAGCTCTGGCACCATGAAATGCAGAACTAATCTTAAGAAATGGGACTACAAAGTGGAGTCCATGACATGCGAATGTGGAGAAAAGCACAGACTATTTACTACAATGCAGCCTGAGCCCTGCCACATGCCCAATGGAGGACCCTCTTACAGTGGCATCAGAGGCACTCCAAGTGGCCAGTTTCTAGTCAAAGAACATTTAGTATAATGCTAAATTTGTTTGTGTTTCTAAATACATTATAACTGTGCCTTCAATTCGCTTCTGATAAATACAAGCACAGAAGGAATAAATACTTACTACAATATAACTGCTCTCAGAGCTGTCAGTGAATCTAATACACCCTCCGGATACATCCACTTTGGATTACAACACATAAAGCGATTATAAAGCAAATTCTCATCTCAATCTGTGCATATGTATTCTTCTATCTTCCTTTTAAAAACAAACTTACAGATTTAGTTTAATTTTAGGTGTTCTATAAATATGTCTTTTTAATACTCCATTTATTAAATTGTTGAGCATAGCCTAAAACAAAATTAGCAAGCCCCTTATAAGTGTGTTGTGAAAGCATTCACAATGATACAAAAGTTTAGAAAAAACTCTAAACAGGCCTAGAAAGGTGAGGTTTCCATTGGAAGTTCTGCTATTATATTCCAAGATAAATAAAAATTTCTTCCAAGAATATGGCAAGAAAGGGTTACAAACAGTGTCTTCCGGCATCAAATGTTTGCCGTTTATATGTTGTGCTCCGCCCTGAGTCCCCTTCGGGGTGAGAAGGGCAGAATATAAATGCTTTAAATAAATAAATTATTTTATATCACTGTGATAGGGGAGAAACTCACTCATTAATAATTGCCATTGTTAAATGCACGTGTCACTTCTTATTGGAGAAATGCATGCCCATAACAGGAAAAAATAAGGCACCTATGGCATTTGCCACCTTTTTTTCTTTGGAGGGAAAAATCATATTTTCTGTACTGTGGTCATATAATTTTATTTTGATTTTAAATGTGGGGTCAAGAAGAAGTTATATCTAGTGCACACAGAAACAACAAGCATAAGCAATACCTAATTATTTATTATGTCTTTGGCAGAAATGTGAAGGCATTTCCTTTCAACAAGTTTGGCATGGCACAAGCGGCCCATTCTGCCTGTCAAGTTTGAGGTATGCTTACCTTTTTCACATGTTCTTCATATGTCACTTTGTCCCACTTTTGCTGAAGATATTTATTGCCACATGGCAAAATTGGCTGGTAAGCACGATGCATCTTGAAACAATGAAATATCTCCAAATCTAAACCCTTTCAAAGGGAATGAGTCATCCCCAGCCAGGACCTTCTTGAACTAAGCTCTTAACAACACTGGTGTGTTTGGAGCAGAGTCATGTGGCAGTTGTCATGGTATCATTGAATCAAAAAGTGAATAGCTGGTGGGAGCATTTTAAACAATATGTTCCAGAAATGGCAAACAAGTATGTAGGCTCTAAAACTAAGCTACCATTTTCCAGTACATTTATCACTTATTTTTTTAAAAAATTACATTTTTATGATCTTGCTGAGTGCTTCAACAATGAAAAAAAGTGGGTCAGCTAGTAATACTGCTTACTGCACTGCAGACAAAGGTGAGCTAGCACAAATATAATATTTATCTTATCAAGCACTAGTTGTTGTGTGCCAGCACTCAGATGACCTCATTGGCTTCCATAAAGTATTAGATAGTGTGCCTTTTGTCATTTATTTAAAATGCTTCCCTCCTAAAGACTTCATGCATTTCAAAATGTGGAAAATGTCCCCACCTGGACATTGTGAATAGAAGCATGTAAATCACTCTGTGTGAGGACAACATATGAGATATTTCTTGCATGTATGAAGGTCAATCACAGATTTGTTGGTATATTCCCTCTGACTTATGGCAGCCCTAACTCAAACTTATCATGGAATTTCCTGAGAGTAAAGAGTGTATGTCTTCCCCAAGGTCGCCCACTTGCTTTTCCTTACAGCAAGTTTGGTTTTCATGGAGCCCCCGATGGTGCAATGGGTTAAACTGATGACCAACATTTTGGAAGTTCGAATCTGGGAAGAGTGCGGATGAGCTCTCTCTGTCAGCTCCATCTCTCCATGTGGGAACATGAGAAAAGCCTCCCACAAGGAGGGTAAAACATCAAAAACATCTGGGCGACCCCTGGGCAACTTCCTTGCAGACGGCCAATTCTCTCACACAAAAGCAGCTTGCAGTTTCTCAAGTTGCTCCTGGCATGAAAAAAATGGCCTAGTGAAAATTCAAACTCTAATCCAATGCTCCTAATCCAATGCTCCTAATCCAATGCTCAAACCTAATGATACTCATATTGTGAATTTTAGCTTTTGTAAACGTCTCATTTCCTCAAGCTGCAAATTCATTTCACTATACTAAAACATTCATCCAGAAATCTCTTTGAATATTTATACACATGCCTATGCATGTGTTTCCAAATAACTGCATACAGGTTTGCTAGAACAGGCACATTTTACAGGTGTTTACTCAAAAAATTTGCAATTCTCTGCATGGTGTCTGCACAACTGGGCTGTGGAGCCACTGTCCTGCAATGAAGGCAGTTTCCAACAACTCAGGTGACCATAATGCCACCCTAAAATGGTATGTTTAATATTGGTTCATAGCTACATTATGTGTTTGTGCAGAACTGTCCTTTGTAAATCACCATGGGACCATTCATGATAAATCTGGTTCTATCTCAGCACTCTCTTAGATCTGCCCAACTTCTCCAGGCTCTGCTTGCCATTTTCTGCTCTGTCCTAGTTCTCATCTCACACATACAGTCACTTGTTTTTCAGTTCATCTGTAGTTCTGATCCCACACAGATGAATGGTCTCCCTAAGCTCATATCTTGCTTATATTTAATGAATCTGCCTGGTGGGAGAAAAACACTTTGTAGGAAGGAGAAAAAGATTAAATGGCTGTCAAGAATGTTAAGCCTGGTGATTTCTCTCCCTTGCTGTTTCTATTTCTTTAATTTTTCAGAACATTAAGGCAGAGTTTGATGTGGTAAACTGCTGCGCAATGTGACATAGCACAGCCCATTTACAGTAATATTTCACACTAGAGCTTTCCTGCTTCTGTTAATGGCATTCCACAGTTGAAAGTCTGGATTCCTGTACAAGTGTTCAAACACTTGTCTAAACTGGTTCTTCCTCCTGCTAAATTGGAATCTTCACATATGAAGGAGTACACAAAATCACACATATCTCTCCTCTGAGAATAATGTTGACCCCTAAGAAAGTTTAAACAAGTTGCAATAAACAGTTTGAAGCTACTCACTCACTCTTCCCATCTTCTTCAAGTTCTGGAGTAGAAAATATCTCTAAAATATATCCCCTTTTTCTGATGGTATATTTCTCTCTCTCTCTCTCTCTCTCTCTCTCTATATATATATATATATAATACAGGTTCATAAGTACTTCTTTTTTCAAATATTTTTATTATGTTTATAAGTACTTATGTAGGGAGCCGTGGTGGTATAATGGGTTAAACCCTTGGGCCAGCTGAACTGCTGACCTGAAGGTTTGCAGTTCGAATCCGCAAGACAGGGTGATCTCCCATCTGTCAGCTCCAGCTTCCTTTGCAGGGGAATGAGAGAAGCATCCCACAGGATGGTAAAACATCGGGGCATCCCCATGGGCAGCATCCTTGCAGGCCAGTTCTCTCATACTAGAAGCGACTTGCAATTTCTCAAGTCGATTCTGACACGAAAAAAGTACTTCTTTGCCTAAGCCAAAATGCTCTGTAAATGGAAACTTGTTCCTGTTAGAGAATGACAACTTTGTTATGGAATTGGACTCCTAGGGTTAGCTGATGCATCGAAATGTATTGTTCATCCACAAAACAGTGCCTGTAGAAAATAATACCCTATGTCTCTCAAATTTGCCAGTTCTAAGCTAACACCTGGCAAACCATGGAGATATTAGATTATCTCTTTGCCGGTTCAAATGCCAGCAAAAACTCCAGCAAATCCAAGCATGGAAATGCAGATCTTCTTATCAAGGCAATACGTTGACAAACTTCATCTTCAGGATTCTGGTAAGCTCCCAGAGCTGAGCTTAGCATTCCAACCAAAGTCTTGCTAGTTCTGAACCACTATGTTTACTTCTTGAGTCCTGAGAACAAAATTCCCATCTATATATTCTTAAAATGTATAGATTGGCCAGTTTCCTCACAGAACTTGAATTTAATTAAGCACTCCCAGCAATTATTTCCTTTCCAAGAAATAATGACATGGCTTTCTAACATTCAGATTGTAACTGGTCACTCTTTTTTTTTTTTTTTTTGCAGTGCAACTATAGCTTTACAGTTTCTTTAACATTAGAGTATGGCCTTACTAAATGGCAAAGTTTTTTTTAATTGTGTCAGAAGTGACTCAAGAATCTGTAAGTCGCTTCTGGTATGAGAGAAATGGTCATTCGCAGAGATGTTGCCCAGGAACACCCAGATGTCTTACCATCTTGTGGGAGGTTTCTTTCATGTGCCTGCATGGGAAGCTGAAGCTGGCAGATGGAAGCTCACCCCATCTCATGGATTCAAACCGTTGACCTTCAGGTCAGCACTTCAGCCAGTACAAGGGTTTAACCCATTGCACCACTGTGGCTCCTAATGACAGAGTGATCTGATCCTTTTGTTGGCTTTTGTGGTGTCTTTTACTCTCTTGTGGGTAATGTGGCAATGATGAGGTGAATGGGAGAACAACAGGCTACAGGTTTTTTTTTTTTTTGGAATTTCTGTTAATAATTATAAAATTATTGGGGGGGGGGGCAGTGTCAACCCAGAGAAAATATGTTGCTATGTTGGAGTGGTGCCTCTTACATCAGAGTTTTTAGGACTGGAACTCAACTGTGAAATTTCACCATTTCCAGCAGGTGGCATGCTTTGGAATCTAGCTAAACATGGCAGAGTTCTCAGACTATTTGCTTATTTACATATGCCAATACAGTATATTGTGTCATATCTGTGATTGACTGATTTTGTCCAAAGCTGTAAGACTGCATTACTGACACAAATAGGAAACAGCTATAGTTCATCAGTATAATGTGCAATTATAGTCTCAGTAATTGATGAAAGCATAGAATCAAAAAGAAAGAAAAGCTTAAAGAAAGCAAACAAAACAGCAACATCCTAAAAAATGACAAAGTACTTGCGTAAAAAAATCATCCCAACAACTAGTTATCACGCTTTCTAGCATTGCACTGTCCATCAGTTTTTGTGAAGGGATAGATTTTCCCCCAGAATGTTTTTCTTCCAGAATACGCTGCTTTCTAGTGTGTTACAGATCAGCAGCTAAAGTTAACAATAAGAGTACTTTTTATATATTATTATGGGATGTTGAAGGGATGTTACAAATGTTATCTTAGAAATTCATTTAACAAAGCATTAAGTGGGGTTAGTTTTTGTATCCTAAAACTTGAGGTAAGTTCTGATGGATAAAGTGACATACTCCAACAAGAGCTACTTTCATACTTGATAAGTCATATTATTATGATTTCCCCTTTATTGCCATGGTGACATCCTATAGAGTTTGGAGATTTGCCATTTAGGGTGTTCAGTCATTGAGCTCCTGTAGTATTTCAGTAAACTTCAGGATGCAGTCATTGTAGTTAAGTTGGAATCATACTGCTATAATTATGTAGTCTGAAAGGGTTTTCAGTCAGGCTGGATCTACACTGCCATATAATGTAGTTTCAGAATGCAGATTAAATATATTGAACCAGATTATAAAGCAGTGTAGACTCATCCAGTTCAAAGCAGTTAATCTGCATTGTGAAACTGTATTAGATTGCAGTGGAGATCCAGCCTCAGAAACCTATGTGAAACATTCCCCTCCAATAGCTATCCTTTGCTGAACAGCTCCCACAGTTAGGAATTTTTCCTAATGTTTAGGTGGAATCTCCTTTCCTGTAGTTTGAAACCATCGCTCCATATCCTAGTCTCCAGGGCAGCAGAAAAATAAATTTCCTCTCCCCGTGAAATGGGGAGAGAGAAAATGGTTTGTCTGCCTCCCACGAGGCAGGGATGGGTTCCAATGGAACCTTCCAGAGGACTAGGGGGCGTGGCCTGTTTGTACAAGCCAGCCCCCACCCAGGCTCATTCTGACCCTGGAAGCTGTAGAGTGAGGACGCAGCGACGACCAGGGAGAAGGCAAGATTGAAGAAAAGGGAAGAAAGAAGAAAAGAGAAGACAGAGTGAAGGCAGACTAAAGAGGACTGAAGATTGGGAGAAGATCTGAGTGAAGAGGAGAGTGGAGTGAAGAACTCAAGAAAGAAGACCAGACGAAGCAGAAGGGAAAAAGAATACCTACA